CTTGCTCTGCAACGCGAATAAGGTGTATTTTCGATCGGTGGGCGTTTGGTTGGTCTTGTGTCCGTGGGTTATGTATCCATTTCGAAATCAGAACCGGCAGGTCACGTAAGGAGGGCTCAGGAGACAGATGACGTCACGGGGTGTCAAGGTTTTGTCGATTTTTAAGACATTGCTGTACAGTAAATAATATTTTTTATGCTCTAAGGGAGCCCAAAAGTTTAATATCAAACTGCCTTAGAGGATAAAATACTCGAAGATAAATATTGGCGAAGATTGGTAGACACCCGCTGACGTCATCTTTCAAGGTCACCGATGTAAACAAACGGCTAACCATTCTATAACCGAAGGTTTGTTGTCAATAGTTAAAGTGGTTAAAAACCGGTTCTATAGCCTTGGTTAAAATAGAACTATTTATAGTCACCGTGGTTAGTACGAAGTAACTGACGGGCAGGCGAGCCAGTAATTATGTTTTCCATTCTATTGTATACGGCCTCGGCCAGCGGGTCCTTTGAGCCGTGCTTTGAGCATCTCTGCCGATGTTTTTGTGCAACTGCAGTGGACGGCGTCATTTCAGCAAACGCCGAGCATACGCGCTTATCGACGAGTACACGCGTACTTTCGGCGGATGCCAATGTGCAGTGGACGGCGACCTTTATGATTTATAAGATGTCCGTGCGTGCGTGCGTGCGTAATCCGTCATGCCTTATGTGTCTTATTGCGCCTGAAAGGCGGCGGGTATCGACGTGAAATTTGGCATGCGGAATCTCTGGGCGTGGGCGGCCTTTGTATTAAAATTTGGGCGTAATCGGACCAGGGCACTATGGTTGGAAACGGCCTCACGGATGGCCGTGGGCAATCTCGGAATATATGTATATTTGGGGTGTCATTCTGTTGGAAATTGATGAAATGTTTTGAATTGGGCAGAAAAAATTATTTAGTTGCGCATTTAGTCTCCATTATTGTACGTGGAATCGGGAGTTTCTGAGAGTGGCTTTTTTGGTGCGCCGTCAAAGGTTTAAACAACCGCGCTGGTGATAGCATGTGGAGTACCTCCATGACGTTGTAAAACTGGATTATTATATATCAAAATAATCCTTGTTATGTTGGCTATCGAGTGGAGTGACTCTTTTTCCCATGCGTGTTCAAAATCAGGAACGGCATTGCATTCTGTTTGCAGTGTCACCACAGCAATATTTGCAAAATTACGTTTATGTTTCATTGGACATACAAAAAGTTCTCCATCGACCTCCATTGAGCTTTTTGGCAGAATAAGTCTCTGTTCAATTCTGCGTAAGGGGAACGTAAAAGCAGACTGCGCACTTGTGCGCAAAATCGTCCGTGAAGCTTCATCTCCCGAGGCGTACCTACCCGTCGCTTCGTTAGCACCAGGTCGGCTCGTCAGTCTTGCAATCGCTTATCCTTATAAATGATGGTAAGAAGCAGGGTTGCGGAGTCGTGGTGGAGCCAAATCCGACTCCGACTACGACTCCGACTCCTGACTCGTTGCCATGACTCCGGCCGACTCTGTCTCCGACTCCGGACCCCTGCCAGTGTTTCGGAGTCGTGATGGAGCTGTTCCGATTCGGACCGACTCCGACTTCCACTGCGGGCTCCTGACCGACCCCGACTCCGACTCCGACTCCTGGCTCGTTGCCACGACTCTGGGCGACTCTGGCTCCGACTCCGACTCTGACTCCGACTCTGACTTCGACTCCGCACCCCTCGTAAGAAGTAACTGCTCGCCGCTGCACCTGGAGTATGGATATCGTGCAAACGTGTATGGATATCCTGGAGTATGGATATGGATATCCACCGACAGAGCAGACATACAGACATGCTGTAAACGCCATTACACTGCCAATACCATGGCAAATCAAATGGCTATCTATGGTTTTTGATCATCGTTCTACATTTCCCAAAATCTTGAACTGAATGTTGGCAATTTCTCGTGACTACTTCACGACCATGATGCATGCATTTCTGAAATTGATCTTTTTTCAACCAGCTACGTACTCGTATGATAAAATGAATGTCACCATCGTGTTCTACGCCCAAAAGTACCCATAAAACATGTGTCATGCATGGGCTGCGAATAGGTACCAGTTTTAATTTTCGGGGTTATGTGCTTACCTGATTGACCTGACTTTGACCCTGGCCAGTGGCCTATGTTTGACTGACCCCTACATTGATCTGACACTCTTTTAGCACTTATATGAAGGGTTGTGACAGTTGTGACAGATTGTTTAGGACCAACTGATGACTGAATTTATTTAGGACCAACTGATGACGATATAATCGAAACGCGAAACGCGAGGCACCGATTGCGAGGTTCTAAAGTCCATGCTACTGAAAACCCGATTTCAAGTGTTTGACCTGACCTTGACCCGACCTGTGACCTCGAAATTCAACTTTAAAGTATTCATGTGAATCGTCTCGTCGCGTTCTTCTTTCGTTTGCCGCGCCTCGTGCGCTTCGCTGCGCCTATTTGTTCGCGAGTTATCGGCTGGGGGCGTTGAACGCCCCCCCCCCCCCCCCGGGCAAACGGCGGATGGGGAAATACCCCAGCAACTGCCGGGTTAATCTGACGCATGTTTTGTCATTTGATCGTCATTTTATTTCTTACTTTTTTGCCCAATCTAAAAAAAAAATCATAAATACTCTTTCTCCAAATTTTTGACCGTTTATGACCAATAGTAAGACACTGTGCGTCACTACGTTGATATGTCTTGCCCTAAAGCATAACAACAATATCCATTCAGTAATAGCAGTATTCAAAACATGTTCAAAATGCCTCGCGATATCGATAACATAACGAAAGACATAGGCGACTTATAACATACTTGCAATGATGACGTCACACACGCGTGACGTGACGTGACCTCGTCATTTCTGAGTTACTGTATGATGCACGAAAGACACTGGTATACCTATGCAAAGTTTCATCGCAGTCGGTCTACGCATTAACAAGTTATGGGCAAAACATTTTTTCGCGTTGACCCCCGGCCATCCGTGAGGCCGTTTCCAACCATAGTGCAGGGGTGCGCCTTATATGTCTTATGTGTCTTAATGCGCCTGAAAGGCGCCGCGTATCGACGTGAAATTTGACATGCCGAATCGGTGGGTTGATGCGACCTCTGTATTAAAATTTGGGACGGATTGGCCCAGGGGTGCGCCGTCAGCACGCGCTCGCGTGCGCCATAGGGTTAACACAGGAAACGGTCAAAACGAACATCGGACGAAAACCGCCCTGCGGCGCCTGCTTCCCGGCTGTATAAGTCGGCAACGGGTGGGCGCAGCGAGAAGCGGTTTTCACCACTGGATAGAGGAGAGATGGAACTAGCGTATTGATATGGTTTCATTGTATAGCACGCGCCACGTGCAAGACAGCACCCCCGGTTGTGAAAAAATGACCGATTTCATGCATTGTGGGAAGGAAACCGATGCCGCTGGAAAACGGCTTGACGGAATGAAATCGGTGTTGTATCATTTTGCAGACAAATGTACGTGTGATAAAAGGAAAGCAAATAAAAAGTGACGATCCGTGCCATTTCTTTAATAATGAAAAATTAATTTGAAAATTTGATTTGCACGGAGCGCGATGTCCTTTACAACACCAAAACGTATTGAAAACGATGATCAATCGTTATGAAACCTACATATTCGGAAAGAGCATTCTTTTCTGACCAATATCCACCCAAAATATTATCGAAAAGTCAATAAACTTTTGTGAAAATGACTCAAGCATGCGACCGTGTTTTTACGGAGCGAGCGAAGCGAGCGGAGTCTTACGTAGAATAACGGAAATTTCTGAGTATGAGCGGCCGGCCGGCCGGCCGGCCGTGGTCACGATTCTGCGACGCTTATATCTCAGCAACCACTTGAACGATTTACATGCGGTAATTTTTGCAGGGTAGCTTCATTCTTTCTACCAAGTATTGGACTATTCCCGATGCATGCGGGTGACCCCTTATGCACGTGCCACGTGCAAAACGAAGAGGTGTCACTTTTGTAATTGTTGCAATATCTCGGTAACTACTCGGCCGATTGCGCTGAAAGTTGGCATGTAGGTAGGCACCCACTAGGCACTGCATATCCATGTGCCAGAGTTGGGGTGCTGCTGCACGTGCGCACGTGCAGGGGTCGTTTCCAGATCTCGAGAACGGCTCGACCGATTGCGCTCAAATTTGGTACACAGTTAGGGACCGGATAGTAGGGAGCCGTGCACAAGTCAGTTGGGACCCATTTTGCACGTGCGCACGTGCAGGGTGCCGCTTCCAGATCTCGAGAACGGCTGGGCCAATTGTGCCCAAATTTGGCACATCGCTAGAGACCGGTTAGTAGGGTGCCGTGCACAAGTCAGTTGGAGGTACCCTCTCGCCATTTCGCACGTGCAAGGCCCACCCTCTCGCTCGCTCCGTTAGTCGCCCCAAAAGGCGTTATACTGGTGATAACGTTACGCGTATTTTCCGACGAAATCGGATCTGTGGCTTCGGCAGGCAGGCCATTCAACTTTTGACAATAGCTATCAAAGCATGGGCTGCAATGCACCGCCCGCCAAGGGGAATTCCAAACACTGAAAACAGGGGCGCGGGAACTACTTTCCGACTGGGGACTCAGGGAGGCACACCATAATAGAGATTAACCTAGGGTACCCCCAAATCTAGTTTTCTCACCGGTTTTAGGCCACTTATTTTTCACCCCTCGGCTTTTTCAACAAAAAAAAGAAAACATTTGCAAAAAAAGTGTGGTATTCCGTCTCAAAGCTGTGGGGGCACCGCCCCCACGGCCCCAGAGTTGGGGGGGCAAGCTGCCCCCACTGCCCCCCGGCTCCCGCGCCTATGACTGAAAATAAGCGCCTACCAGTAAACAGCACTGTGGTGAATTAACAATAAAAATAGCCGGTTCGTTGTCAAGAAAGAGTTGAATTGATTTTACTTTATATTCTCTTCGGCGGCGGCGGCGACTCCCAACACTCTCAACACGTGGCGGTCTCCCCACAGGAACTGCACGTAGCGCCTGTCCTCCTCCTTCAAGACGATCTGGTGGAAGGCGGCTCAAATGTCTGCCTGGCAACCAACAGCATTGGTGCGGAAGTTCAACAAGACAGAGGGAAGACGGCTCAACAGGTTCTCCCCCGGGCTCAGGTACTCGTTCAGGCTCCTCCCGGTGGCATCAGGAGCGGACCCGTCGAAGACCACTCTCAGTTTATTACCCCGGACAACACCCCGGTGCGGCAGGAAGAAGGCGTCATCAGGGTCATCTGTGAGAGGGGCATCCTCAACCACACCGTTCACAATCAACTCGGTTTATACAGCGCAATGTGAAGGATTCAGGACGGGCTACCAGACAGAGGATACTTTAAAAGTCGGAAAGGAAACTAGTATAGGCACGGGGAGGATAAAGGAAAAGGGCTCGAACACACGACATACTCCCCACCCGAAGTAACTCTGGTTACTTCGCAAAAGCCAATGCTCAAGCGTCGGCAACACAGGGCGGACCGCGAGCAGCCAGCTCGGCGCTTCGCGACGATACAAGTGCGCAGACAGACGCACGAAACAAATGACAGCGCTCAAACTAGTCTCGACACTTCGCGACACATTGAGCACAACCAAGTGCAATCAGCACACACAGAAACGGTCCTCTAGTTCTGACGCGCGCACAACTCAGCACTCGGGCACGTCAGTCGCCATTCCGAGCTCACAACTCGGCACTCGGGCACGTCAGTCGCCATTCCGAGCTCACAACTCGGCACTCGGGCACAGCTCAGTCGCCATTCCGCGCACACACCGTCAGGCGCGCGGACGAGGGTCTTACTCGGCGGCCTCCAGACTGAAGAGCCGGGAGATTGGTCGCCGCGTTAGTTTGCCGCGCACACGGAGAAAAGCGGCTCGGCAGCGGCCGTCCGGTCCCGGGATGAGCGACACCACCCGGGCGAGGGGCCACGTGCCCCGGCGTCCTTCGCCCTGCAGCAGGATGACCTCGCCGACCGCGGGCAGGCGAGTGGGGCGGCCGCGCGGTGACGCGGCCCAGCCTCTCAGCGTCTCGAGGTACTCGGTCGTCCACCGACGGACGAGACGGTCACTCACACGGCGCCGGTTACGCCAGGTCCTGCCCACATGGGAGTCAGAGTCAAGACTGGGACAGACCACACCTGAGATGGTGGTAACCCCAAACAACAGGTGAGCCGGGGTAAGTAGATCATCTCCATCACCAGGGGTCAGGGGCCTCAGGTTGAGATGAAACGCAAGTTCATACAGCGTCACAGCCAGTTCATCATACGACAGGTGGCACTGGTGCAACGTAATCTTCAGGGCGCTCTTGGTCACACCGACGAGCCGTTCCCAGAACCCGCCCCACCACGGGGCGGCCTCGGGGATGAAGCGCCACTTGACTGACCGCGGCACATGACTGACGAGAGCACGGAAAGTACGGGCATTGTCACTGACAATCAGACTGGGCGTTCCTCGCAGGGCCATGAAACGCCTGAGCGCCAGGGTGAGATCAGCGGCACTCTGAGACCGCACCAGTTCCAGGTGGACGGCACGAGACGAAGCGCAGGTAATCAGCAGCGCCCACACTTTGGTGTCTCTATCCACATACAGAGGGCCAAAGTAATCGATTCCCACCTTGGAGAATGGGCGCGAGACTTCTGACCTGAATGCAGGCAGACGGCCGTCCGCAGCTCGGTAGGGCAGTCCTCTGTACCGCCGGCACCTGAAGCAGGTCCCCAGCACTCGGCGCACCGTCCTCCTGCGGATGAAGTACTCGCCCGACAGGAGCGCGAGAGTCACTCTCGTTCCCTGGTGAAAACAGCGGCGATGCGCCTCGTCAACGATCAGCACAGTGATATGTGCCCACTCCGGGAGAACGATCAGCGGCGGCTCATTGGTCCTTGGCACGGAACACAACAGTCCATCGTCGCTGATGCACAGGACACACTTGGCTAACGGGGAACTCACCGGCAGCAGAGTCCCGTTTCTCACCGCACGCAGCTCCTCCGGGAAGGCGCGCCGCTGGGCCTCCCGGATCCAGTACACGAGCGCCTCTCTTCTCTCCTCTGGCGACAGCGGTCCGGACTGACGCTCAGTCTCAGGACTCCGGGCGTTGTGGACGAACCTCTTCAGCCATGCGATCCTGTTCACGGCGGCTCCAAGATCTGAGAAATCGGTGGCCTGGAACGCGTCATCAGCAGTCTCTACCGACGGCACGTTCTGCATCACAGGGTGGCTACGAGTCACAGGAGCCACCCTCCTCTCCTCCACGTCGGCCTCAGGGCTCACCGTCTCCACCGGGTCTGGCTGAGGAGGCAGGTCAGAGGTCACGAGGAACGGCGGGCCGTTCCACCACTTCGCAGACTCTGCGAGCTGAGACAGGGTGATGCCCCTCGTACCCAGGTCGGCTGGGTTCTCAAGCCCCCGGACAAACCGCCAGCGGTCAGGATCGGTCAGCTCTCTGATGGCAGTCACACGGTTGTGAACAAACACGCGGAACAGTTTGTCACTCTTGATCCAACACAAGACATCTGTCGAATCAGTCCAGTACGTCACACTGGGTGCTGACAGACACAGTGACTCAGTCACGAAGGCCATAAGTCGGGCCCCGGTCAGCGCCGCCATCAGCTCGAGCCGGGGGACAGTCAGGCTCGGGTTGATCGGCGCCAGTCGTCCCTTGCAGATCAACAACTGTGACTCCCCACCCTGCGAGACGTACACAGTGGCACAGTAGGCGGTCTTGGAGGCATCACAGAAGACATGATACTGCGTGCCCAGACTGGTCTCACCGATCATCGCAGCACGCGGGAAGGAGACTGTGCTGCCGGCAGAATCTTGCCACCAGGCGGCGACCTCTGCTTGCAGCGCATCGGGCAGCGGCTCGTCCCACGTCAGCTCCACCGACCAGGTCCGCTGGAACAGAGCCTTCCCTCTGACCAGCCACGGGGTGAGCAGGCCCAACGGGTCAAACGGCTTTGCCACTGCGGACAGAAGCTCACTCCTGGTGCGAGGACACAACATCTCAGGCACGGTCACAGCGAGTCGGTCAGTCTCGGTGTTCCACGCCAGACCCAACACTTTTGAGTCCTCGGAGGACACATCACCTGTGGTGCGGGTCTTGTGCAGCTCCATCCTGGCCTTGCTGAAGACGCTGCTGACTTCCTTCATCCCAGCAGCCGCCTCTTCTCTGGTGCCGAACGTCGGGCACAGGTCGTCCATGTAGAGCGCTCCCTGCACCTTCTGCATCAGCTCCGGCTGGGAGACAAGGCACTGGCGGACATGGCAGCACACAGTGCGCAACAGCATGTACGGCGAACAGGATACGCCGAACAGGACCCTCTGAAAGCGCAGGTGGCGGTCTCCCCACAGGAACTGCACGTAGCGCCTGTCCTCCTCCTTCAGGACGATCTGGTGGAAGGCGGCTCGAATGTCTGCCTGGCAACCAACAGCATTGATGCGGAAGTTCAGCAAGACAGAGGGAAGACGGCTCAACAGGTTCTCCCCCGGGCTCAGGTACTCGTTCAGGCTCCTCCCGGTGGCATCAGGAGCGGACCCGTCGAAAACCACTCTCAGTTTATCACCCCGGACAACACCCCGGTGCGGCAGGAAGAAGGCGTCATCAGGGTCATCTGTGAGAGGGGCATCCTCAACCACACCGTTCACAATCAACTCGGAGATATGACGATCATACCTGTCGAGCTCGTCGGTACTCATCTTGGAGACCAGACGTCGGGTGCGTAGCTCCGTAGACGTCAGGTTGGAGGCCGGCCTGCTGTCCGACTTCCAGAGCAGACCCATCTCGTAACGCTGCTCGCCGAACAGGACCCTCTGAAAGCGCAGGTGGCGGTCTCCCCACAGGAACTGCACGTAGCGCCTGTCCTCCTCCTTCAGGACGATCTGGTGGAAGGCGGCTCGAATGTCTGCCTGGCAACCAACAGCATTGATGCGGAAGTTCAGCGAGTCGGCTCAGGTGGCGCCTCGTCTGCAGTCTCCTTCGCCGAGATTCCCACGGCGTCCAGGCTCCACATCCTCTCCACGTCAGCCAGCTGACAGCGGTAGACGCGCCTCTGTTCAGTCTGCTGGTTATGTGCCTGCCCATGGAGAACATGACCAAACACCGTCTCAATCAGGCGCAGTCCGGGCCCAACCTCCACTTGGTCCCACATCACAACCTGGTAGATCTGATCACACCCGATCAACAGATCCACAGGCCCCTCACGGTAGTCGTCAGCGAGCACGACACTTGGGGGCAGCGACAGGTTCTCAGGCAGGCTGTACGTCCCAACAGGTACACACAGGCGATCAGTTTTCCAAAAAGACAGTGTGGTCTCACCTCCTTGTCTGCCAGTCAACTTAACTGACACTCGGTCGTAGACTCTGGCTTCCTCAGTCCTCTCCAAGAACCCGACGCAGGCGAAGACTCCCTGCTCCTCAGTCTCCAGGCCCAACTTCTCTGCTAGAGACGACCTGATAAACGAAGAGTCAGAGCCTCCATCGATGAGTGCGCGCACTTGGCACACACCTCCCGGTCCACTGACCTCTACCAACACGGTCTGAACAAAGCAGCTGCTCTGAGCGTTCACATTGTAAAGGCGCTTACCCTGACCAGAGCTGGTGGCTTGACAGGGCGGTTGGACGGCAGCTGCGCTGGGCGACTGGACGGACGGACCGACGGCAGAGGCGTGCCCAGTCACTTCACCTCCAGACGGCAGCTCAACAGGCGCTCTCCCTGTCCACGCTGGTGTCTGACTGTCCTGGAAGGTCAGATGGTCAGGCCAGCCAGGCGACCATGAAGCAGCAGCAGCAGCAGGCGCTGTACACGTTACAGTGTGCATCGAGCGGTCAACAGCACGAGGCGGGTGGGGCGCAGCAGGCGACTGACGAGCAAAGCCCTGGCGAGCCGGTGCAGCAGGCGGGCGCACAGGGGCAGCAGGTGGGCGCACAGGGGCAGCAGACCCTCCCGCATCATGCAGAGATGAGTGGTGAGCCTCACCGCACCTGGGACATGCAGAACTCGTGCACACTCGCACCATGTGTGGCCCCAGACACTGATAACACAGGCCCTCCTGCCTGACGGCCCTCCAGCGTGAGGCGACATCCATGCTCCTGTAAGTGGGGCATGCAGAGAGGCCGTGCCTCCCATTCTGGCACACTCCACAAACCCAACCAGCCCTGCCTGACCTGCCTTGTATCCTGAGGACACTGGTGGCTGACCTCGCTGATCTCGGCTGGGACGGCTGACTCTGGTGAACAGCTGGGCTGGCGGCTGGTGTCCCTTGTGCAGCTGCATCCTCTTTCATCTGCACCTCCCTCTGCAGAAACTGCAGGAAGTCTGGGAGGTTCTCGGAGACACCACTCTGCGCTCTCATCCACTGCAGCTTCCACGTCTCTGGGACACAGGACTTCAGCACAGGCATGAGAAGCACAGAAAACGACTCAGCAGTCACACCCATCGTCTCCAGTGCACGAACATCAGACACCAAACCATCCACCATCTGACACAGCTGCAGAAGGTCATTGTCATCAGTGACACAGCGAGTGTTCAACAGTCTCTGCATCAGTGACTCCCTCAGCAGGTCCGGACGGTCAAACCTCTCCTGCAAGGTTTCAATGGCCTTGACATATCCAGCATCAGTCAACGGCAGTCCCTGGATAGCTGCATGTGCCCTCCCAGTCAGGTACAGTTTCAAGTGTACAAACTTTTCCACTGGGGAACAAGCTCTGTTGTCATGAACAGCAGTTCTGAACAGGTTCCAGAACTCAGGCCATGTGTCAACTGCTCCGTCAAACTTAGGCAGCTTTAGCTCAAGTTTAAAAGCACTCTGGCGCTCATGCAGTACTGGAGCAGAAGCTACTCCCCTCTCGAGCCTGGCTAGAACACGCTTAGCCTTGAAGAGAGCATCATACGCATCCTGCATGTGTGAGCTATCATCCTCGATCCCATGTTTGTCAAGTTCACATTGTAGCTGTAGCATATGCTCATAGTGCATCTCGAGGTGGTGAATGCGTAGGGCCAGCTCATCCTCCTGCGACTGATCACTGGCAGAGAGGTCACGCAAAAGTCTGGTTACCTTACCTCTGGCTAAGGTTCGCTTCTGGCGCAGTTCACTTTCCTCCATCACAGCTCTTGACAGAAACACTCAAATCTTGAAGGCACAATCTCAATCTCAAAATCAAAATCTCAATCAAAATCAAGCAAAGAATCAACCAAAAGCAAATCTTGATCCGGCCAGCGGAGGACTATGTGGTGAATTAACAATAAAAATAGCCGGTTCGTTGTCAAGAAAGAGTTGAATTGATTTTACTTTATATTCTCTTCGGCGGCGGTGGCGACTCCCAACACTCTCAACACGTGGCGGCGACAAGAACACGACGGCAGACAGGGCGGAACTCAACCACGAGGAAGAAACGGGGGCGAAATCAACTCGGTTTATACGGCGCAATGTGAAGGATCCAGGACGGGCTACCAGATAGAGGATACTTTAAAGTCGGAAAGGAAACTAGTGAAGGCACGGGGAGGATAAAGGAAAAGGGCTCTAACACACGACAAGCACATTATTGTACTAGGAATAACTCAGCTATTACTGGTCCGATTGCGCTGAAACTTGGACAGTGGGTGGGCAGGGCACTCACCTGGCGATGCATGGTCATTTGTGACAGGTATGGTTCATCGATTGCACGTGCGCACGTGAGGGGTCCACTGATACATCTTAAGAACGGCTGGGCCGATTTCGCTCAAATTTTGTTCACTGTTGGGGACAATTTAGAAAGGTGGCTGGCACAAGTCATCTAGAGTCTCAGTTAGCGCGTGCGCACGTGCAGTGGGCCAGTTTTATATCTCAAGAACGGCTGTGCCGATTGCGCTCAAATTTGGTACAGCCCACCGCTAAAGTAATGTAGGGTTTTACCAATCTCAACGGTTGGCTTTGACTGGCGATTGTTTAATGCGGAGTGATCGAAAAGAAGATGTCAATAGCTAAAGTTGCAGCTGCAAGGGTGACGATACATATAAGCTACATTCAAAGTTTCATTGTAGTCTGGCTAATTGTTCCTAAGCTTCAGAAGCAGAACATACCCATGTCTGAAACCCCACATTACTTCTGCTGTGGACTGTACGTTACTTTAGTCGAGTACGAGAAGGGTAACTATGTGTAGGTTATTAGTACGGTAGGGTATGGGCAGGTTAGGGTAGGGTAGGATGGGTTTGAGTTCGATAAAGGCAAACCATGAGAAATGCTCTAACAACCCGCAACCAGCACCAGCATACCATGCCGTTCAAACAAATATCGAACTCCGACAAAATAAGACAAATAAAAATCATAACTTCCCACACCCATACTAATGCCCCCTCAAACGCATCTATCAAAACGCACAGTTATAGCGCAAAACATGCCATCTAGTATGTTTTTTAAACAGAGCTGGTGCCTCGAATTAAGCACTTTCGAGTGCTTTTGCACCAGTTCTTACTTATCTTGATTTTGTGTATTCTTTTGTTTCTTAATAAACGTGATGATGATGATGATCTGATTACACCCTATGGCGTAATGTGACGTATAATGGTAAGATTTTTGTAATTTGTATTATTTTCACAAACTTGCGCGAACAGGTCCTGGAACGCTTGCTGACTCAGCGGCGCAATGTTTACTACTAGTTAATAGCAGAAAGTTGAAATCTGAGCTAGTAGTATAGAATAACTGGAAGTATTCACCTGCCAAAAATAATTAAAATCTGTCCATAATTGGAGATGCTATGCTTAATCAAATTTTTGTCCAGTTTCATACTGACCACCCGTTGTTTGGTCTGGAAATGATCTACAACCATCTCAAATTCTCAAGCACACGGAATCGTGATTTCATGCGCTCCTTGCAAGGTCTGATGCTTCTCTTTTGCTTTGTTGATCTTGCGTGACGTCATTTATTCGTCACAATTCGCGCCAGCAGAAAAACCACTGGGTGGTGTGAAAAGGGACTTTATCGTCCTTACATAAATCGAGGTGGGGGTTTTTCTGGTGAGGTGACAAACTAACAAACACAATAATACAAGTTCAGCACATGCTAGATATAGCGGTGGAGCTCTGGGGTGGCGGAGGGCAGTCAAACAGGCGTCCGCCCCGCGCTGGCGTCTGCTGACTTGACGGGCTGTGACCTGACCTTGACCCAAGGTTAACTCCTTAAGTTGATCTCACCCGAAGAAAAAGTAGAACAGTCGACACGCCTGAGCTAGACAAACACGATGCTGCCAAAATCGCGCATCTGCGATCATTTTTGGCGAAGTAATTTACCAAAACCGAACCTGTGCCTTCGGCCACTTGACCTGAACTCAAGTCATCGGCTGACCCAAGTTCTTAAAATCGGGGACCAATCGCTGCATTTCGTAACGACGCACACGATCGTTTCTTTCGTGAGGCTCTAGCTCAATTAGGGGCGAATCAGCGAAGTTCACTCACTTCCAACCCTAAACGCCCCCCCCCCCGGTATTCAGAATACCTGAAGGTCCGATGAGGGTTAAAACGTTGCTCCTGAACGAAGAAGAAATGTAGAAGTCAAAGCTCTATAGACGTCCTGTAAAAGCGGTCATAATAGATAAATAAGGTAGAGATCAGAATTCAGATGCCTTATAAACGACTTCCTCAAATGAAATCGGGCATAGGCGGCGGAACGGGGCCTATGGGCACCGGGGCACCGTGCCCCCTTTGATTTTGGCATTTTAACATTAGCCCTATGGGCGCTGCATGGAAAGAATGGGACCAAAAGTCGGCAGTGCCCCCCTTATTTGAAGGTGTTCTGTCGCTACTGAAATCGGGTGCTGGGACCAATCTTATAAACGCTTTAGAATGGATAGGGCGTCACTGGCTAAAATTTGGGTGCAGAAAACGACTATTAAATGCAAAATGGTTTTCATGCATTTCAGTCAATTGTATATTGACGGTCCCAGTGGCCGAGCTCAAAAAGACATCCACTGCTGTTATCACTATCAATATTATCTAATGCCGTGAAATGTGAATACGACAGCATTCCATTTATGAGATTGGGCCAATGGAGTCGCGCCCCGCGAGCTCGGCTTTCTGCTCGGTCGCTACGGGCCGAGGAAGTCGGTCTTCGCCTGAGGGCAGGACGGAGGTCAGCGAGGGAGCGCAGGGTCAGTCAGGTATCGTCCAGTGCCGAGCGGGTGCCCCTCCCTCCCTTCTCTTCCCTCTTTTGTGTTGTTGGGTTAGGCCCTTTCGGTCTGACAAGACCATTGCAGAGCCGGAAGGATGATAGGAATTAGGGGGAGACATTGGTCTGGGCAGGCACCCTAGTGAGTCGCCGGGGCTGAGCCCGTCCAGAGGACAGGCCAACCAGCCCCAAGGCACTCACTGCACCCGGCTACGGGGTGCGCTCCCTCAGGAGCAGCGGTGCCGCTCCAAGGGAGCAGCCCGCGTGAGATAAAGTTGCCTGTCCAGCCCGGGGGGGGGGGGGGTTGCGGCGTGGAGGAGAAGGATTTCAGTATCCGAAGGTTGGGACTTTTCAATTAGACAATCACTATTCTTTAGAATTGTGATTTTCTATTGAAAATCCCAACCTGAGCTACCTCTCTAGGGGGGTGTTTAGCGTTTCTGCCGCGATTTTGGTCATCTTGATAGGGAAGAAAACGGCACGGTAGAATTTTTTGCTATTTTCAGCGTTTGGTCCCGTGTGGGGGAGCTACCGGCTGGCATCGGTCGCTTGAAATATAATTAACCCGTTTGGGGGTAATCGGCACGTGCATTTTCCCATAGGGTTAACATGGGGAAAAATTGGAAATTCGATTTGCGAAAAATTTCGTCAATTATATTTGCTGATATTTTTAGGATTGGATCTCGGCCAGGCACCTCACCTTTTGATGTTAGTTATTTAAAAATCATAGGGTACAGTTTCGGGTAATCGGGACGGATAGTTACCCCATGTTGAGCCTATGGCAATTTTGAAAAATTATTTTCAAATCGATTTTGCAAAAAATTTCCACGTTAGATTTTGAAAATGTTCCAATATGTTGTGCCCCGGGGTGTCGGCTACCACATGGTATGGGTCAGATATGGGGCGATTGAAAAGCACGTGCCACGTGCAAACGTGTTTGATGGGGTAACCTCCGGGAAAATCCGACATTGTCCAACTGGGGGTCCTATGGCGCGGAAACGACTTCATCTAGCGACACCAAATCAATGCAGCCGGTGAGCAGATGAGTCCAGCTTGTCGCACCAGTGGTCACGTGGCGCACGTGCTATTGCACGTGCCGTGGCACGGGGTCAATTTTTGTTCTTAAATACACCAACATTGTGAAATGCAAGGAATGGGGGAAATAGCCGTCAGGCCGTCAGTTTTTATGATAGAGTCGATCTGAAAACGGGTGTAGACACAGAATGAACGGCGCTAAAAAACTGCTATCTCGGATTTTTTGTAAAACGAAAAATTTAAAATTCTAGGGAAATTATATATTAGAAAGGTGAAATTTCCCTAAATTTTCCCGTTTTTCAAGTTTAGCCGTCCACTGTTCAGTGACGATGACACCGGCCGGGGTCATCTTTTACATGCTAATGGCCACGTCGATGGGTCATCACGTGGCGTGAACGGTGAAGCTGTCAGAGGTCCGGCACGTGCCACGTGGCCACGTGTTTGAGTCACGTACCTCCCAGATTATCGTGTGTTTGCCGACTTGTGGCCTTATAGCACGAAAACAGCACCAGTCAGGAAGCCTGAAAGGGCACAATCGGTGAGGGGACAAGTCCTGCTTGTACCACCGGTGGTCACGTGGCACACGTGTTCAGCTGGGCTCCTCCTTTGCGGAGATATTTTATCGTGAAATATTCAAATGTCCATAACTTTCTCAAATATGGTCCGATTGGGTTCAAATTTGGTGGGTGGCTGCATTGTTAAGCGTCAATGACAACTGAGCCGCGTTTGATGCACCGCGCCACATTTGTCATTATGCGCCATAATCGCCCGAAATCGCAAAATGTTTGTAACTTTGTCAAACATGATCCGATTTGGATTCAATTTTGGGGACGGATGCACAACACATACAAAGGACTGCCCTTGCCGCAATGCGCCACAATTGTAACAGTGCGCCATTTATGCCGCAAAACGCACCAGTCCACAACTTT